TCTCTTCCTCGTTTGTAGGTGATGGTTCGTCAGGGACATCCTGATTAATATTTTCATTAGTTTTATCCCTAACATCTGCCACGTTTGGGCTCAAACGGTCATGTTCGTCGTGTTCGGAAATATGGTCTTGGCTTACTTTTGTATAATCGATCACCGACCTAACTATTGACTCCGCAAGTAGGTCGGAAAATTTCAAAATTGATTCCTTGTTACGATTCTCGTCACTATCATCCTCTGATTGGCTATACAGCAAGTGTGTGTCTTGCAAAACGGCATCAATAATACATTTTGAAAGTTTGTCTGAAAATATTTCGATAACATTGTCTGGGCTTACTTCATGTGGGTCCGATATATCATCACTTGGCATGAAATTTACATGTTGATTCTCATCTAAAATTTCTGCATTTTCCCTGATAGAATCATCGCTTTCTTCAATAGCAGCATGATCTACTACAAAATTCTCATCACAGGCACTTTTATCTTGAGAATTACTAATTTCATCCACGCCTAGGGGCTTGGTAAACTCATTAGCAATGACCTCCAAATTCAAATCATTTGATAAATCACCTGTGATATTTCGTTGCTCCTCAATCGATTCACGCCCTTCCAAGGAAAAACTACTTTCCTCTTGAACTTCTACCGCAGCTTCGCTAGAAACAGCTTCACTCACTTTTGCTAGCGGCTCTTCGATCAAAATCTCTTGCCTCGTAGCCTTTTGAAGAGGATTTGACTGTCCGATCAAAGGCTCATTTACCGAGTCGATAGCGTTGTTTACATTCGCTTCTTCCTGTGTATTGTTGATATATTTCACGCTGTCTGCTTCATTTTCTTGTAAAATTTTTTGTTCAACAACTTGTGTTGTTTCTTTGTTGCCTTCTGTATTTTCAAATGTCTCCGATATGCTGCTGTTTCCAGGAGCTTTATCTGAAACTTCGACATTTAGTGTATTTGTTTTTATTTTAATTTCAGGCTCTTGCTTTTTTACTTCCTTCGTTTCACAGGCTGGCAAAATGTCGCCTAAATTTATATCCTTCTCACAGGCTATTTCGTTTTCCTTTCTTGTTTCAACACTATCATTTAGCAGTTCGTCTGAAGCGTTGCTTTCGGTCGAATTTGCTTTGGTTTCTCCTTCGGGATCTTGTCCATTTTGGGACGTGGACTTTTTAGCAGACAAACGATGTCTCAAGTTTTCGTTTCCTTCGGGTTCCTCATTCTGTATCAGTTGTGCTCCTTCGTTCTTGTGTCCAAATGCTTTCCCGCCGTTCGTTTTTGCTTCCAAGTTAGTTTTCCTGTTGCTGTGTTGTTTGCCATACTGCTCAGGTGCTTCGCTTTCACAACTCGACGAAACGTTTGTCAACTTGTCTGGAGAACCGCTTCTAAACCAGCGAAAATACACAACAAATAAACTCCCAATAAACAACAAACCACTGCCAAAGGACAGTAGTCCAATCATTTTACAAAACCTCTCACGAAAAACCGTGTTTTTGACACCAAAATGAACAACTATCGGTATAATTTCAAAACGCAAATTATTTCAGTAATTTGTCAATTGATATGCGGGTTGACTGCCCGCGTCTTCGAATCTTTCAACATATGTCATGGCCCCCCACCAGCTGTTTGGAGAATTGACATTTTTGGCAGCGATTTAACCCAATAATTCATCGCATTTTTGTTAAATAATCATAATTAAAAAGTCCCGGTGACAACATCTTATAAATAAATCCTCGAAATTAACTTTTGTATGAAAGCATAGCACTTTTTTTTTCAGGACAAACGGAACTTATTCAATGGGGGAAAACTCAGCTCATTGCAGGCAACATGCTCAGAAGTCAGAAATTCATCAAATATCACCGTGTGTTTGTTTTATGATTCAAAATAATCACACCTATGTTTGCTTTAGTTTGCATCACAGTTTAACTGACAAAAAAGGGCCAACCAGACGTGGGAAAACAAGTAAACGTCAAATTAAAATATAGCTTTTATATAAACAGTAGATTGGAATATAATTGAATATTATTGCATATTTATGAGGTATTTGCATAGTTACTGCAAAATTAATTGGACTGGGGAAGTCAAATCGTAAACAAAGATGAAAATGTTTATTTGCATGTCTAGCCACTGACGTGTTATGCTGTGCAAAGTAAGAATTTTTTATACTCTTTTTTGAAGTGAAAAACAATCCGAGAGATGCTTCGATTAACAAACGATTAGTTTTCGACAAATTTACATCATTTACATCATACATAGATACCGTTTTAAAATGTGTGCGATTCCTAAATTGAGCAGTTAACAAACAGGTGGTCTTATATTTAATCGATTGCATTTGCTAGCTCAAAGAAAGAAACACCTCAATAGGTCGAAGTAGAATTTCAAATTGACCATAACAACAACTGTGAAACAAATTGAAACACCAGTAACGAACTGTGAGATACCAGTATGGCATACCAAATAAATTAGAACCTCTGAATTGGAACAATATGTGTTGCAATTACGATAGATTGCTACATGTTGTGTTTGAATTACCATTCATTCTGTTTAATTTGAAACATGTGCTTGTAAAACACTTTCTTAATTGTTTTACAAATTTAGTTATTGTTTGAAAAATCACCAGGCAGTATAAAAGAATAATTCTTTATACAGTTAATCGCTTTCCAGGGTAGTCAGAAAATGTTAACACAAGTTTGACAAGTACCAGTGTTGTTAATGATCACATGAAGGAAAATATACGCTAATCCTATGAAATATTTGTTGTAATCTATAAAATGTGGTAATCTGGCAATCCTAGAAGTTTCTTAATCCTAGCTAGCTGTAAGGTTGCATTTCAACGGTTATTAAAGTGCGTTCAACCTAAATTTTCGGCTGGTGATCGTGACAGTGCCAGTTTTGTCAGCACCATGCAACATTGTTCTGTACAGCACATACACCACTGTTTTCTAGAGACTGTATATATTCTTGCTACACGTATTTTGACCCTTAACTCATACTCTGAGAAAAGATGTTTTCAAATGAAGCTGATTAACTCAACTGTCTATATATATACAATGATAGATTTTTAATATGAATCAATGTTAGAATGTATGGTATCATATTCCTTAAAAATAAGTACCGTTTGTCATATTAACATTTACCATAAAGGGAAACAATTACGGATACAATTACCTGAACATAAAGCAATGTATCGCCTGATCTCAAAGGACTATATGAACGCATATCAATACACTAGCCATTGGAAACGATAACATTGTTTTCGAATACTAAAGGCGACCTTAAACAAAGGCCAGTAATGTACAGAAATGTTGAAATATACATACCGATTGCTACCACTTCGTCCACAGATAAAACATGATCTTAAACGTTTCCACATGCCAAGTATTTGAAGACCCCGAAGCTTTTGCAGATGTCAGATGTTGGATGCAAATTTCTTCAAAATGTTAACCCACTTAAGTAACTTTACCTTTGTTTCGTGTTGACATAAACTGGTTAAACTAACAAGCAAAACCCTAGGATAGCAACAATGTCGAAGCGAGTCAAATATGGCCTGTGTTCTCGAAATGTATGTTTTTGAAACGAAGTGCTCTTCTTAGAGTAAATATTTGCCACTTGTGTAGCTCTCGAAGTGTGTGGCAGCTGCCAAAATGGGATCACGGATGAAGATTTGAAATTTAAAACCAAAACTTCCGACGCATTCTTGAAATGACAAAGGATTATATTTTGAATAATTTTTGAACAGGTCAAACAAAGTCACAGTTGTTTTAGTATTTATGATAGTATTGTATAATAAACACATTATTTTATTACTCAGAAAAGACAAAGGCCAAGGTTTTGTCTGCAAATTGCAACGATATTGTCATATACAAATATCCCTATGGCTATGGATTTTATCTTCACTAAAGTCTACCAGACGCTGTTTGACTGTTTCAGACAAGTTTGATCAGAAACTAATTAACTTCAAACAGCGGAGATTAGAAATCTATATATAGGATTTTCATGAGGTCCCAGTCGGCACTTGGCGATTTTCGCCGTCTATATAGCGTAGACAATCGCAGGCTGTTTCTCCAGAGTCCAGATTAGAAACCAAAATATTTCCTCCAAGGGAAAAGGTTTCTTGCTTTTATATAAACATAAATTTCACACTACATTCTTCGCTAAATATTTGGACATGATGACAAAATCTACAAAACTGATTTCAAATGGTCGAAATTTCAAAACCTTCATGGGGAGACGCCCTCGAACCCCGCTTGTAATTTCGGCACCATGTAGCCGATACGAAAACGGTACCTCCACGCAACCTCGTACCCAGGCTATTTTCTCTTATGCTCGGTATAGATTCTGGGTACGAGATGACCAGGGTCACACCACCTCCATAGAAAATGCCTCCAACAATATACAATGCGATGATCTGACATGTCTGCTGTTGCAGTGATGTATGTCTATGATTTTCACTCTCTGTATGGCAAAGACAACCAGATTTAGCAAGTTAATTGCAGAAACCAAGATGTGTAAATAGAAATAGCCCAGAAAATGGAGTGACAATGGTTGCCAGTGAACATGCTTGTTGAAATAGTTAACTAAACGAAGACATAAAATTTCGGAGAGCGAAGTTTGGGCCATTAAAATCACGCACAATATTCAATAAACACTAGATGCGAATCAGCCGGGAATTCTTCATGTTGTACAGAAAAGAACAAAAACAAAATTTAAGCAAGGACAAAATAGTTTTATTGCATTAAAAAATACACAATTTACCACAAGCATATCAAGGAAACAAAGCTTGACTACATTAATTTACTACAAAACTAGATGAGCACTTCGTAGTTCGTAATCCATCCATCCAAAAGTCCATCTACCAGATTGCTGGATTGACGCTAATGACCAACCATCAAACAAATCAAGCTACAACCAAATTAAGATTCCTTAACTTTAGTTGGCGTGTATACTTTTTTTAATTTCTAAAGCTGTGTGTAAGTCTTGTTTTATCTCACTTTACTTCAAGTGCCACTTACTCCAAAATATGATATTTGGGACGTGTGGTATTTGCGTTTTTCTAAGAAGAAACGTAATATATCTGTATGATAAAAAAAAATCTTCATCAACTTTTTTTATGTAGACGTTGCTAAGGATATGATGTCATGACACTGAATCAACCCCAAAAGTGTTAAATAATCTGTCACCAAAAACCGTCATTCAACTCCTTGTTAATACAGTGTAGATGAATATTACAAATTAGTTTGCCTTTGTTATTCACTGTTAGCTTTGTTTAATGACATCTATATCTGGCAACTTTGACAGGAAAAAAGTTGCTAAAGTGGTTTTAGTTCTATGTGCTTAATCTAGCTATGGAAATATTCAGAGATCTATCTATTTACACAAGATATATTTCATGGTTGGTCTCCTGGTTATTCTACGTCTTCAGGTCGTACTGGATGTTTCAATGGAATCATTGACTTCTTGTCTTTATCACGTGATAGCGCTTTGCGCATGTCTGAAACAAGGAAAAAAGTGTAAGTTAGATACAAAAATTGCTTTAGAATTTCCCAGAAATTACACCACAAAAGATTAAAATCTAAAAAGAAATCCAAGCAAATTCTTACCAAAAGCATCCTCATCAGGGTCGCCAGAATAATAATCCAGAACTCTGCGGTAAACCACATAACCCAAACGTTTGTACATATTCACAGCAACCTCGTTTGATACGCGAACAAATAGATCCACAAAGAAACATTTTTTCCTGAAATGAAATATCTAATTAAAGGGCCCCTCCACCTGAGAGCAAGTTCTGCGCTCATTCAAGACTATATTGAAAAGTTACTATTTTACAACACCAGAAACATCATATAACTGTGAAGATCCATAAACTTTTGAAACTGTTGAATCTGTCAGAGATGCAATAGAGTGAGGACTTTAACCATCTTGATAAACTGTTGTTTTTAGTTTCATAGTTTATTAGTTACTTTGTATTGTTTATTTATGCAATTGTCTTTTGGGCCTGCAGTAATTGGTCTCCTAGATTGTTGTGGCTACCCAACCATCGTAGTCTTGTATGTTAAAATTGCAATCATTCTGAAGCTTCTACCTTTCAGAGGTCTCTTCCAAGTTAGTCATCAACTGCCGAGCTAGTCCCAGTTTCCTGAACTCTGGAGCAACTGTGACAGCAGTGACGTGACCATGCCACTGTTCTCGTTCCTCACTTCCTTCAGCTTTGCCTATAACTTAAGAAATATGGTTTTCCATTTAGGGTTTGAATTAAATATTTAAAAGTGAATAGCAAATTTCTACCCAGTGGCTCATACAGTAAAAAGTGAATAGCAAATTTCTACCAAGTGATTACTGTGTTGTATGTAAAATAGCATTAAGCATCCAATCTTAACCAGCATAATAATAGTATGGTGGTTGTAAGGATTAATTATAAATAATTGTAAAATAGTTTAATTAATGTCATGACATAGAAAACGTTCTTCCTAAAGATCCAGTGAGGATCATCTCTTATCAGGGCTTCCGAGAGGTTGGTGGGGGCCCGGGGCAAACTTTGTTTTAGGGGCCCCGATTTCAAATTTTTCCAAAAAAATTATTCCAAAAAACCCCAAATATCTTGCCCTTTGCGCAGAAATATTTAACCCAAAAAAATGACTGGGGCCCAACAAAAAATTTCTAGGGCCTAACTTTATTTATACTCAATAGTTCTATGCACTAGTACTAAACTGTTCTCCCTAGAGGTCCATTATAAGTTAACCAACTCAGATTTACAACACTTACTGTAACCCATTATTCGTCCATCTCGAGACTCGGCAACTTGACAATATTCTGGCCATCGAGATAAATATTGAAGGTAAAACTGAATACCATACTACAGACAGCAGTTAAGATCCAATTGCAAAGTATGTAAATATATCATTTAATAGTCAACTCCAAGTAAAAATTTTGTAATGCCATGTAAAAATTCAATCAATGAGGTCACACACAATCTACCCTCACATTCCGAAATAGGCAAAATAAAATTTTGCATGTCGCTACCCTCCCAGTGTGCATTCTAAGTGCAATACCCTGAAGATCTTCAGCGTGAGTTTGGCACATTACAATACTATCTGTAGTTAATATTGGCGTATCTTCAGCGTAGAGTTTGCATGGAATGCACCCTGGCTACCCTCACTATACTAACTCCTAAAACTACTAAATTGTGTGTAGATCTTCAATGCACAAAGGTCATAGCAAACATAGTCGAGTTTTCACTCTAAATAATTTATGTGTGTAGGTCTGTAGGATACTGTTTCCGTCAGTGGATCCAAATTCCTATAAAATATCATAATATAGTGAAATTGGTAACTGGCTAACTGCTTTCATGACTAGTGTTGGTATTAACTATTAACTACTTTCATGGCAAAATTTATATTTTGACTTGTACAGACATCAACTAATTTCATAGGAAATGTTCCAATGTTCTGCATGTAAAGTTATTTGTCCAAGTAATTTACTCAACTTGTCAACAATTGCACAGAAGTACTTTCACTTAACTTTGTACTCACACATTTGCAAATTTGAATAAGTCGTCGCAAGTAAAAGGTCTGATTGTTGTCATGTCGGTAATGTTTCTTTTGTAAAGCTAACTCAATGATTAGCAGTAATGCCGCAACAAATGTTGTAGCTAAATCCTGACTTGGCACCCTTTAATACAACATATTCACAGTAATAACAGGAATATTTGCACCATGACCACCACCATATTGCCCGCTTTGCAATTTGTTGGGGACTGGGGTCTATTTTACTTTAATTAAATCCACGATATTCCCACTATTCCACTATTGTCATACTCCAATCAGTGGCCTCCAATGCACGTTTCCGAAAAGTACGTCATCTCGGCTATAGAGTCTCGTTTTCATTCTGTGACGTTGGGCTTTTCCAATGTCCCATACACAAAAGCAAGGCTCTATAGCCAGAATGGGCCTGGGTAAAAGGGTCCTGTTTCAGACGTCCCGCTGTTGGCTGGTACATGACCTCAGTCTAATGACTCTAATACACGCTTCCGTAAAGTGTGTCACCTTGGCTATAGAGCCTCGTTTTCGTGATTGAGACGTGGCCTTTAACTGATGTCAGATACACGAAAACGAGGCTCTATAGCCAAGCTCTGAATGCAACTGTAGCATAGCCGAGAAGGAGATTGCTAACAGGACAGGGTCCATCACACGACCTTGCTTCGTTCTTCGTAATCCAACGAAGTGATGGGAGAATTCACAATTTGCCACCAACTCGTCAGTACATACAGTGAACAATCTTAGTAACTTCAGGGAACTGTCTTTCCTTCTACAGTAGACCAGCATGTGCTGCCTCATCTAGTACAGGGTAAAACTCGTCCAACGCTTACAACCATTAAAGTTATCGTATACACGAGTTTTAAAAACGCGTCAAACTAAGACATTTTTACAACGTACAATATTTTTACAATAATTACAACTACATTTATATGAATATGTACATTCGACAATCCATCACTCGGCTGATGGTTGGGGTCTGTTTTCATTGTTCGTTTTTTCCCATTCTGTTTGCAACTCAGATGATACTTCAGTAAAGAGTCTGTCCCAATCCCACGCTTTGTCTTCCTGGAAATTAAAATATAATTAAGCGGTTTATAGAAAATGCAAAGCGAAATTATAGGAGTAAAGCTAGTTTACACTATCAAAATTTCTGTGATCACAGTAGGAATTTTGCATCAAGGTAAATTCTACGTTTTCAAGGATTTGTAAGAAATGTTTCAGTTCCCTCCAACATTTCTTACAAATCCTTCAAAACTTTGATAGTGTAAACCAGGCTTTGTGGTCTTGTCATTCTTACTTCAAAGACAGTTGATTCTGGAGCTAAAACCTTTCCCAAGAGTTTCAGGTCAATTTCATCATCCTTGCAAAGAAACAGACATATTAGCAACGTTAGCAAGCGCACAAGTAATGAAAACCACACCACCAGCATGAGATTTGTAAAACACTTGCATACCAAAGTCATGAGATAGGAATGTTTTTGAAAATCGTTATCCAGTTCCTTATAAGTTGCCACACGATTGACTTGGATGCTGAAAAATAATTAGAAAATTTCAAACAAGCTATACCTTTACTTACACTGGATAGATTTATTAAATTGAAACTGTTTTCCTAGCCCTAGATCATCTTGTATTTGGCCCAATGTTGCTACTAGGGGTAACCTTATAAACTTTATTTATCCTAGATAAATTCATCTGAGTTTAAAACTGTTTGCAAACCTAGGGGGAGCTGCAATCTTGTTGGCAAGATCTTCTTCCTGGAAATCATCTAAGTCAGGGATGACTGGAATTTCTGAGAAATAACAAGAAAAATGAGAATTATTGAGAGGTAGAAATTTATGGTCAACATGAAGTCAACATTCTGGATTTGCATCTATAATCAACCACTGATTAAGCATGGTACATCATCTGGCATTAGACAGAGTAAAATATAATAAAGTTGCATGGGCACATATTACAAACCATCATTGTCTTCAGTTACTTGGTGGTCTGTTCTTAATCTTTCACTAAAACAACACACACAAAATAAATCAGACGTTGATATAGAATATTTTATAATATCTCTTGGTAAGTTCAAAGCAACTTACTCATCCAGTGTGGTCACATCAGAATCACTTTGTCTCTTCTTCATGGTACTGCAACACGAAATAAAAAATAAAATACAAATGGACTACATACTGCAAAAAAATGTGACCATACTAACAGGGTGGCTGGGTTTTTTCTTGTTGTTTTTTCTTATTTAGTTTTGCCAACTAGGGCAGGGTCATCACAACAGCATATGCCAATTACTGTGGGACCTTTTACCTAACCCACCCTGTCAACTTTCCCCTGTGGGAGGAAGCCGGAGTACTCGGAACAAGTATCTTCAAAATTTTAACAGGGTATCTTCAAAAAGAAATGCAAATATGTCTTGGCAATTATAAGTGGCCGCAATAAAGAGAGGACTGTATTTATTAACAATGTGACTGTAAAGTGAAATTCCTGCTGTATAGATATAAAACATCCCAATGTTTGATCACAACCTTTTCCGTTTGTCTTTCGGACTATCACTTGCCCATCCTCCCTTCATCTTCACCGATGGTCTTTCTCCAATCTGATAAAACAATATATATACAATAGTATCTTCTGCTTGTCCTAACAGGCCAACAATAATATATCTCTCAGTCACTAACCTGTCCTGATGAACCTTG